ACGGGGTTTCACCATGTTGACCAGGATGGTCTCGATCTCTTGACCTCGTGATCCACCCGCCTTGGCCTCCCAAAGTGCTGGGATTACAGGCTTGAGCCACCGCGCCCGGCCAAGTTGGTTATTTTTTTGAGACAGTGTTTCATTCTGTCACCAGGCTGGAGTGCAGTGGCACAGTCATAGCTCACTGCAGCCTCAACCTCCCAGGCTCAAGCGATCCTCCTGCCTCAGCTTTCTAAGTAGCTGGGACCACAGGCACACACCACTACACCCACCTAAACTTTTTGTTTTTTGTAGAGTTGGGATTTCCCTATGTTGCCCAGGCTCATCCCAGTCACTCCTAGGCTCAAGTATTCCTCCTCCCTAGGCCTCCCAAAGTGCTGGAATTACAGGTGCACACCACCAACCTGGCCTGCAGACTTCATTCTGTAAGGGAACAAAGGCCTTCTTTTCCACAGTTCAAATAACCAAAAGTTTGATTAATCTTGAAGCATTGTATATACTGCATAAATAAATTCTTTAGTGATGAGATTGTAATTATGTAGAGTGGGATGAAGCATCCTTAAGTCCAGATGAGTTTATCGTGTCTTAGAAGTTTAGTTCATTATAATTCCAGATAGGTAAAATTGAAATTGTGATACCTTTGGCTCCGTGCAAATTTAATAGGCTTTTGTAACATTCCGGTGACTAGACATTTGGGGGTTTTTTTGTTTTGTATTTTCTTTCACCCTTTAGGGAAATGCTTTCCAATCATTTTAAACTTACTGATACAGGCAAACTTTTGGCATATGTGGAAATTGAGTTTACATTTATTGCTGATTTCAGAAAGGGAAAGCCCTTGTGCTGTTGTCATAGTCTGGATAATGCCTCAGAATATTAATTGTAGGATTATTACTGTTATTTCTGAGTTTTCTTCTCTTTCTTGTAGATTTAGAGCTTTATTTTTTATCTGCTACTTTGACACTTTAGGTATTCTTACTTGCTTGTGGATTTTATTAAAACATCATAATATTAAAATTCAGATTTGAAATTGAGATTAAGAGTTGCTAGGCTGGGCACGGTGGCTCATGCCTGTAATCCCAGCACTTTGGAAGGCTGAGGTGGGCAGATCACCTGAGGTCGAGAGTTGAAGACCAGCCTGACCAACCTGGGGAAACCACGTCTCTACTAAAAAAAAAACAAAATTAGCTGGGCATGATGACGTATGCCTGTAATCCTAGCTACTCTGGAGACTGAGGCAGGAGAATTGCTTGAGCCTGGGAGGCGGAGGTTGCGGTAAGCTGGGATCATGCCATTGCGTTCCAGCTTAGGCAACAAAAGCGAAGAAACTCCATCTCGAAAAAAAAAAAAAAAAAAANAAAAAAAAAAAAAAAAAAAAGTTGCTAACTTCACAGAGATAAAGAGTCTAGTTAGCCAGCTCTTAGCACCAAACCTATGACCTTTATGCATAAGAAATCAAAAGAAAATGAAGAGTTAAAATAAAGGAAGATGACAGAAATGGGAGGAATTTTAAGTAGAAAGGGAAAGGAAAAAACTAATTTAGTTATTTTGAATTACTAAGTAACTGGAAATGGATTAGTTGTTAGGGGATTTCCTGATTTTCAGATCCAAAATTTATTTCCACAATAGATGATGATGGTGATGTAATAACAAAGTTATCAAAACTTGATAACAAAATGAAAATAATCTGGATAAAGACAGCAACAAGAGTTCTTAAAGTATTGCTTTCTATTTTTGTAACTATTACATCCAAGAGAAAAATAATTTTTTTGCATTTCTGTTTGAAAAACTACTTAACACTTTGAGAATCTGTTCATTTGGGCTTTTATCAATTATCGGTCAAGTACAGTTATGCAAAACCTCAGAGTAATTAAAAATTTAAGTATAGAAATTATGTTTTTATACTGTCAGTGGCCCTGAGAAAAACAAGTAATTGAGTTTTATATCATATTGATAGAGTAACACCTTTGATTTGGACTTGATGCAAATAAGATGTAATAGATTTATAAAGCATTAGGTGATAGTCTTGTTGGTTTGAATGTCTGTTACTCCCAAGAAGTACAACTATAGGTAAAATGGCTTTCATATTAAGGGGACAGAAAATCCTTTCTAGTGCCAAATTCCAGTTTTGCTGCTTCCTAGCTTTATTACTTTGGGCAGGTTACAAGATCATGACTTGCCCATCCCTGTAACTGAGATTGCTCTTCTGTAAAATAAAGTTAGACTCATAGGATTTTTATATTAAAAGATATAAATTTTATAAGTATTGGCTATTACTGCTGCTTTCATACTGTTTTCCTTCTGAAAGTTTATACCTTAATATCGCTAAACTTAAATGAATAGTAAACATCTTTTAATGTAATTGGTAATAAATCCTTAAAACATAAGAGTTATGGATTATGTTCATAAATTTAAACTTTTAAAATCGCCATTGATGAGATGGAGGAAAATAATTTATGATGCCATGCTTTCGCAATGTGCTGTATGTTTTCAATAGATTAAATTTTCTTTCTTTTCTTTACCAGTTATTTATCAGAGAGTCTGATGCTGAGAGAGAACAGAACTTGCCTGTCACAGTTACTAGATATAATGAAAAGTAAGTAAAACAGAACATTCTACATAATGTTCTTCCATTACAAAGTTCCTTTCTAAATAAATATCTTGGTATTTAACTAGAAATATAACTTAGATTTTTGTTTAGATTTATTTTCATTGAGTTACTATATTATGGAAGCATGAAAGACACACTGGTCTAGAACAAATAGAAGGTACATGGAAGGAAGTAGTGTTCATGTATATAGAACTTATGCAATGAGTGAAAATATAATTGGATTTAGAAAGGGTTTAGAGATTGACAACAGGATCCTTTTAAAGAATAAAGAAACACTAGTCACTAAAAAAGATGTAATGGGAACTAACTTAAGGATAATGTTTAAATTTGGAACTTCTATTTTGTAGATAAATCATTTTTTTAAAGAGAGAGTTAGAGGGAGATTTGACACACTCAGAAAAGGCACTGCTAAGACAACAGAGAGAGATTTAAAGATGCTCACCTTGAAAATTATGAGAGTGATGTGGCTACAAGCCAAATGAAGCTGGCAGCCACCGGAAGCTGGAACAGGCAAGGAATGGATTCATCCCTGGAGCCACCAAAGAGAATATGGCCCTTCCAGCACTTTAATTTTGACCCATTGAAACCGATTTCAGACTTCTGGGCTCTAGAACTATGAGTCAATACATTTCTGTTGTCTTAAGCCAACAAGTTTGTGATAATTTTAATAGCAACTTCGGGAAACTAATATAGCCCTGTATAACCAAGAACTATTCAACCCAAAAAGTCATTAGTGCTAGTGTTGAGAAATTCTGTCCTAAGGGTTGAATAGAATCTCATCTTATTGACTGAATTAGCCAGCATTCTCTATTCTTCATTCTTGCCCACGGCACACTTGTTCATGGCTGCTAAGCTCCTCTTTGGGGTTAAAGCTCAATCATGTTTGTTCCCATACCTTGCTGTCTAAATTGTTCTTAATTATATTTGTAATTTAATTAAATATTAAACCAGTATAAAATTGAAGATCTTGATCTTGGATGACAGTAAATGGCTATACATTTTATATATTTTGTGTTTTAAAAGTTAAGATGCTTGAGGGCATCTGTGTCATTTCTTGATTCTCTGCTCGAAGTGATCTTGAGAGCTTTCTTTGAGAATGATAGGCTTGTGATTTATGAATTATAAACTGTAGCTCTTTAGCTTTACCACTAGGGGGTTCACTTTCAAAGCTAATTGTGATTTGACTATAGATAATAGGAGCATAGAATTTAGTAGGTAAACGGAGTCTTATTCCACTTTACTTATTTCATAGCTTAGTTTTATTACTGATTTCTTCTCAATATCTTTATTTTGCTCCACTTATTTTAAATGAAATAAAAATAGCTCTTCATAAAATACTTATAGGTTTAACACTACTAAGATATTTGTAATGTTTGGAACAGATAGTGTCTTATGGGTGTTGAGTCACAAGTATTCAGTTGAAAATACTGCTTTGTTTGCATTATGAAATAGGTCAGTATAGTCATTTGGATCACATGGCTGGCAAATAATAATAATTATAAGCCCATTGGCTCTCTCCTCATTCCCCTAATACATTTTGAAATTTGTATTCTTTGGTTTATTATAGTTGAATATAAAGATCAGCTAGAGGATGCTTTTGCAGTTATAAAGTTACTGATATAGTAGTTTGCTTTTAACCTAAAGTGGACATTTTTGTATAGGGTCTGTTTTTTGTTAAAGCAAAGGATTATTAACAAATTTTTACTAAGCATCCTCCCTTTATTGCATGTTGTGTAATAACAGTTTCTTTTGTAAATAGGAAATACATTCTTAGTCCACTATCTCTGGAATAGAATATTATGAAGATGGTTGGGGATAGAGAACAAAGCATGTTCACTAAATCATTTAGGGATTTTTTTTTTTTTTTTTTTTTTTGTTGTTCAGACTCAGTTTTGTGCCTTTATTCCCCTCCCCTATGCTAATGTGGCCCTGAAATCGTCTTCCCAGATATTTTTTCATCAAGAAAAGTAGTCCCAGAGCAAGTTTTTTTTTTTTTTTTTTTTAAGTCTTAAACTGAACAAAAGTGACCCCAGTAGGATTTGCGAAAAATTAATGCTAGATTACACAGTGTGCTTTATGCTGTACATGGTATGGGCTAAACAGCAGAGAGCCATAATTACTTGAATTAAACATATGGTGCTTACAGGATTTTAAAGTAGAATGATGCAAATCTTGAGAAGAATAACTGTGTCATTTGAAGAGTGTTTTGTTGAAAAATAACAAGCTCCTTTACTATGAAAAGGTTTGCTTATTCAGTTTAAATTCTTTTTTGTATCCACATAGGCATGAGAAACTTAGTAAAAAAGTATGAACCACCCAGATCTGAAGAAGTTGCTATTCTGAAACAGAAGTTGGAGCGATGTCATTCTCCTGAGCTTGCACTTAATGTAATCTCGTAAGTTGATGTGACAGTGTTGATCAGTAGACATAAATTTTATCCAGTCCAGCTGGTTTGTAAATCATTTTATGGGTGTTTGCTCATTTGAGGAAAGCTGACTGATCGATTAAATCAGATTTTCTTTGTTGAATGGACATTTCTAACGAGATTAAACTTAAGATGTTAATAGTTCAGCATTCACTATCCTGCTGTGACTTGTGTTCTTTGGCTTGCAGGCCCTGTCCTGTTCTGTTACTTCTCATGGGATCTCAGGGGTCAGGGTCTTAAGGAATCCTTTAACCTTTTCCTGTTATTTTAATCTTTGGTCTCTGCAGTTGTGATATCTAGTCTGAGGAACAAATGTCCTTTCCAGACTTCTGTTAGCTAGAGTAGGGAAACTTGGCATACATACTTACTTTCGATGACAAACTTTATATTGAAGATAAAGCCAATAGCAAAATAGGCTGTTCTTGTAGGCATAAGAACACCTTTAATGTCTCTTAATTGATTTGTAAGCTGAATATGGAAATCACCATAGAATTTGCAATTTATGCTTTGCAAATTGAAAGATCGATTGAAATTTTTAAGTGTTTAAGCAGTTGGGAATTTGGGCAGGTACTAGGAGAAATGAAACTGACATTTTCTATTTCCTGTGGGATGCATTCTGTTGTTTAAAGTTATACCCTATATGTTAAAATTTAATGGGAGTTATCTGTGGCATCTTATAGTTATTTGGATATTATTTCTATAATTGGTGAATATGTGCTGCTGGATACGTATGAAAAGCCAGAATAGCATTCTTAGGTCCTTATGTCAAGTACACATGACTTAAATTCCTATACAGTTGTAGTGAGGTAGTATCTAAGGACTTAGGAAGTGTGCAGAATAGCATGATTTAGCACAGAACTTGAAATTGGTGGATTTCATTCACTTCCAGGTTTCAGTGGTAATAGGAATTTTTCAGATTAGTTATAGAGAAGAAATGTTGGCTTTAATTAATGAAAGTATTGCAGCACTGCTTATGTTCTTTTTGCATGGATTTTGATATGGGATTAGACCAGGGGTTGGCAAACTATGACTTACCAGGCATATCCAGCCCACTGGCTGTTTTTAGAATACAGTTTTGTTGGAATATAGCATACCCATTCATTTATTTATCACCTATGGCTGTTTTCTTGATACAATAGAAAAGTTGGTTGTGACAGAAACTGCTAATAGGATCTGAAAGGCCTAAAATGTTTACTGTCTCTTTAAACAAAAAGTTTATCCATCCCTGGATTAGACCACTGAACGGACCATAATCCAAAATTCCTAATTGCCATAGCTTATTCTGGATTGCCATCTGCTTTGTACTGTGCCAAGCAAATTCTGAATATCTATGAGTATTTGAGGAGTGCTTCTCAAACTGTGAAGGATTTTTAAAAAAAAATTCACTAGATGTGTACTTTTGAAAATTGAATAAAAAATGCATTACTAGAAAAGTGAAGACACAAAAACATAAGTTTTTTTTGTGTCAAGTTTTATCAGATTCAGGTCATAAAATGATTATATCAAATTGCTATTAAAAATTTCTAAACACACGATTCCTATACTTAACTCACTACAAACTGGAAATAGTCATGGACCAGCCCTGGTCCATGGACCACACCATGCGTTGTGCTACTTTAGGACTATTTGTTTCCCTTGATTTTCAAAATTATTTTACCTCTATTTTTCATGACACAAAAACTGTATTGTCATTGTCAGTCAGTACAGGTGAAACCAAAGTTCCCTTTGATCAAAATTCAAATCTCTCATGACCTCAGAAGTAACTTAGTAGTTGTTTACCTTTGCCAGCCCTTTCTCTGCACGTATATCCATATGTGTGTATGAAATAAGTCGGGTTTTTTCTCCTTTGCATTAATCTTCATATTATACAAAGTGTAATTATCAATGTTTTACTTTTGCCAGTCTGGCTAAAAAAGTATCACATTGGCATTTTAATTTGCATTTTCTCGATTACTATGGGGCACTGAAGTTTCCATGTTTAATAGTTACTTATGTCTTCTGTATTGCTTATTTATAGCCCTTGCCCAATTGTCTGGCATTATTTTTGTGATTTGTAGTGCTTTATAGATTCTATATACAGTCATCCTTCAGTATCCATGGGGATTAGTTTTAGGACCTTCTGCTGATAACCAAAATTCATAGATGCCCTAATACAAAATGGCCTATTTGCATATAACCTATACATATCCTCCCATAAACTTTAAATCATCTCTAAATTACTTCTAATACCTAAATACAATGTAAATGCTATGTGAATAGTTGTTATGCTGTATTCTTTAGGGAGTAATGGCAAAAAATGTCTGTACATGTTCAGTACAGATAGAATTTTTTTTCGTATTTTCAATCCGCAGTTGGTTGAGTCCACTGATGTGGAACTCACAGGATACAAAAGGCTGATTGTACTTATTTACATATGATATATTCTATTGTTTTTCACAACCTTTTTTCCAAATAGTAGTTTTTGCTTCAGCTCCCGTCCCCTACTTTTTTGAGACAAAGTCTGTCTCTGTCATCCAGGTTGAGTGCAGTGGCTTGATCTTGACTCACTGCAACCTCTACCTCCTAGGCCCAAGTGATCTTCCCACCTCAGTGTCCCAAGCAGCTGGGACTACAGGTGCTCAACCACATTTAGTTAATTTTTTAATTTTTTGTAGAGAGGTTTCGCCACATTGCTCAGGCTGGTCTCAAACTCCTGGGCTCAGTGAGCTGCTGTCCTTGGCCTAAAGAGCTGGGATTACAATGGTGAGCCACAGTGCCCAGCAGGTCCCAGTTCATTTTTTATTTCATGTTTTTCATAGTTACCTGAAATACTTTTTATTACACATTAAATTCCTACTTCTGCATAGTCATTATTTTGCTTATCTAGTCTGATCATTGATCTGTTAATATCTCACTTTAATTACCATAGCTTTTATAGTGTGCTTTGAAGATAGCGCATGGTTTTTCTTTCCGTTCTCTGCTGTTTTTTCACACACTCTTTCCTAGGTCAGTGTTAGACTTGACAGATTCCATGAAAAGTTTTATTGGGGTTTTAATTAGAATTGCATTAAATGGCTGCGCACGGTGGCTCATGCCTGTAATCCCCACACTTTGGAAGGCCGAGGAGGGTGGATTGCCCTTAGATCAGGAGTTTGAGACTAGCCTGGCCAACATGGTGAAACCCTGTCTCTATTAAAAATAAGAAAAATTAGCCGGGCATGGTGGCAGGCACCTGTAATCCCAGCTACTCATGAGGTTGAGGCAGCTGGGAGGCAGAGGTTGCAGTGATCCAAGATCGTGCCATTGCACTCCAGCCTGGGTGACAGAGTGACACTTTGTCTTAGAAAGCAAAAAAAAGGAATGTATTAAATTTCAAAATTGATTTTAAAAGTATCTTTTCCCATTTATCCAGGCCTTGTTTTTCAGTAGATACATGACATTGCATATAGCCTTGCTAGTTTATTTTATATTCTTTAGTTTCTGTGTCTGGTATTGGATTGCTTATTGATAGTTGCTTAATTATAGGAAGAAGAGGAAAGGCTATGAAGATGATGATTATGTCTCAAAGAAATCCAAACATGAGGAGGTATGTTTTACTCCAAAGATAAACTCTAAGTCATTTTTGTTATACATTCTGGTATACTGTTGAGATTTATTCTCCAAGAGTAAAAACACTATAGAAGTAAAAGAATTATAGAGTTGTGCTTTTTTTTCATTTTTTGCATACTTCCTTATGTACAGTGCTATTGTCCATTATTAAAGGGATTTTTATCTCTTCTGTCTTTACTTGATGAAGAATCCTTCCTGTGTTCATAGAAAGCAAAAGGGATACACATACCTACTACAGTTTTGCTTTATTTCTTATTCTCCAAGGACTTTGCCCTTACCCCCTTTTTAAAAAAAATTTGCACCTGTCAAGTCAGGTAAGTGAATAATCAGAGGCAGAAGGTCACATTTGTAACCTTTATTCCTCATTGGAGGAGTCTGGTGAGACCATGCCAACATTACTAACAGTGAAGTATTACAAAATTTCCTGGTTTATCTTTCGTAATCCACATAGGTAAAAGGAAGAGAACATTTTCCTACTGGGAGGTAAAAGGTAAACAATACTGGTTATGCTTCAGTGTTATCCTTACCACATTTTTTTTCCTTCTTAGGAAGAATGGACTGATGATGACCTGGTAGAATCTCTCTAACCATTTGAAGTTCAGTTGTCAATGCTAACTAATCAAGAGAAGTAGGAAGCATATCAAATGTTTAACTTTATTTAAAAAGTATAATGTGAAAACATAAAATATATATTAACCTATTTGTTTTTTCCCCCCTTTCACCGTAACTTTATGTAAAATAAAACATCTTCAAAAGAGCTAGAATAGCACTTGTTTTGGATATTCTTATTCCATCATGACTCATATCAAATTAAAGCTGCAACTTATTTGCCTAATCATTTTTTTAAGCAAAATATGATAGGTAAACCTATGCTTTTTTTTAAAAAAAGGCACCATAAAAAAACAAAATTCAGTAGCCAACTTTAAAAGTGTTGTAAGGAATGTGTTTTGTCCTCTAGAAACATTTACAAATGGTTTTTTGAATGGCATCCTGATATATTTAGCTATTTTTGCATTACTATTAAACTGCAGAAGGTATTTCAACTGTTATATGGTAATGAAAGCTAGTCATCTGGGTAATGAATATTACTTGTTTTCCTTCGTTACCCGAAAACATTTCCAAATGGGTTTTTTTAAATCAAATATATGATTTTGAATAGCTGTCAGCATAAAACTCTTAGGCTGGTAGAGATGAGTAGGTAGCAGCAAATTGTATATTCAGTTGTGGTATTTTAATTTTGTTTTGAGGTAGGGCCTTGCTGTGTTGCCCAGGCTGTCTCAAACTCCTAGGCTCTAGCAATCCTCTGCCTCAGTTTCCTGAGTAACTGGGCCAACAGGCACATACTACCATGGCCTTAGAAGTAACCTATTACATCACCTGTAAGTGAGTCCGTGTAAGTAGATTATAACAACAGTTATTAGGAATTTTGCAGATTAAATATGTTCAAGAAATGTAATTCAGATTGAAATGAGCTGATATAAAAATATAAAAGCACAGACTATGACAGCAAATTACTTGGATATGAATCATGGCTGCCTCTATTTCAGTATGTGACCTTGGTAAGTTATTAAACCTCGGTGTGCCACTTTCCCACACCGAAATATAGGGAAGACAATAATGCCTACTCCTTATAGGATTAATCGGAATAGTACTTGCATACACTAAGTATTCAGTAAATGTTGGCTATTATAGTTGGAACCAAACTGCGGACGTCGGTATATCAAGCCAGATTTTTTCCAAGAAAACTGGCTTGAAAGAATTCTGAGAAATTCGTGTCCTGAATCTAATTAAATTGCACGAATACACACACCTCTTCAGTCTCAGTACATCCCAGGCTATACTTTCCAGAAGGGTAGGTACCATTATAATTACATCATCTTTATATTTTAAGGCAGTACTTAATGCATATTTATCTCTCTCGCTAACAATCCTTCATATTGTAGGTTTGAGTTTTGTGGGGTTTTTTTCCCTTCTCATTCTGGAGTGAAAGGAATAAACTCATGATGTGAGATTTTGCAAAAGCAGAGTGGAAGAAGCCAAAAGTTGTAAATCCTCCATTGTAGTCTTAGTTAAGTACATTGCTGCTAGGCTGTAGACAGAATTGCAAGATGTTCACAATTTGTCTCATTTTCCCTTTCAGATCGCCAAACTTTGGCATCAGAGCAAGGTCCACACTTACCACTGAAAATTTTCCCACCCAGCCCCATTAAAAAAGTTAAAGTTTGAGAGATTTTATTTCAACACTGACAAGCTAGTTACTACCTACAAAGGTAAGTAACAAGTTTCCATTTCAACTTGAGACAAATTACATTAAAATATAAGAAGCACAGGGGAAGTCAGGTTTGTGATTTTAAATAAAAGGGAGAAGGATTTCAGGCTGAAGAATGACAGCTTAGTGTATGGCTAAAGATTGAGGGGCAATTAGTGGGAACCAAAATGCACAGCAAAAATATCTTGACTAGTTCATATCTTCCCTGTCGGCTATCATGTAACCAAGGAAGGAGACCACCTGGGATACTATGTTGGTCCAAGTTCAGCTGGAAAAAAGAGGAAAGGAGAATAATTTGATAAAGAGCCAAAAAGGGAGAGAATGGAATGAATTGAGTTGATGTCAAGGAAAAGGAGCACAGGACTTGAGATTTTTGCTATCAGTGTTGAACTGTGATTGAAGTCACTTAAGGTTAGCAGCTCCCATAGAAATAATTGACTTTTATAGCTTGAAACTATGAAGCAGACATCTTTTAAACCCTTAAAATTTTTTTCCCCTGTATTTTATACATTGGAGGAATAGCATAAAGTGTTGCTCTTGGAATCTGGGCCTTTCCTTACTGTGGGAATACCACCTTGGGTTTCTGTCTCACCCACTTTGATTGATTACCAATGTCATACTGCCACATATGTTCCATATGTCTTATCTCCCCTGAACAACTATGAGAGGGAAGGAATTGTTGAATAATATAGAATTTGCAAAAGTACTGATCTGAAGCTTCAGCTTCTCCCTGGGCCTTGCTCTGATGCTAAGGTTTAAACTGCCCCTGAAGGAGGAAGAAAATAAACAAATTAAATGCTTAGCTCTATTTAGACAAAAGTAATCAATTATGCAAGATTTCCCTTGGTTTTATTTTAACTTAGCCTTTGTGAATACTTCACAAAAATGCACATACAGAAGTAAATAAAACTATACAGTTGAACTAAATATCCAGCAGATACAACAAGTAGTCATAAGTTCAAAGATGGATAAGTTAAGCAGCTGATGAGGTTGTCTGCATAATCAAAGGGGTGGCACAAATAATGAACAAATACGTTTAACAAAAGCATTCTAGTTAACATAAAAGAAACTGGTAGTTTATAAAATGGTTGGATGGGTGACATGCATTGATCAATACAATAAACCAATAATATTTACTGAATTCAAACTATTTACTGTTTTGTAAACATTTAACAAAGCATTATGAGAGCTAAATACAGTCTTTGACAATTTTAAAATAAGTAGTATGTTTAAAAAATAAAGCTGATGAGCAATAGATCATTCTATATATTTTCTTTCAACAGTTCCAGCAAGAGAAATAGCACAATATTTTTTAAACGTATACAGCAAAGATTGTTCCTGTTATAATGACAAACTCTGGAAACTGTAAATACAAATAATCATTGAACAGTCAATGGTCGTATTTCCTAATCAGGAAGTAGTTACAGTGAGAACAGTCTGCAATCCAGTTATACACATAAGAGAATGCTTTCTTGTCAGTTGATTTCATAGTTCTTCCTCCAAGAGACAGGAAAACTTTGGCAACTGGGTGTACTGAAAATATATTTTCAAAGTTCAAGATATAGTCATAGCATTTCATTTTGTGAAAGGTGATCTGTACACCAAGGCTCAGAGGTTGTTTAAAGATTGATTCCATGTGGAAAAAGTGCAAATAGCCTGCACAGATAGCATACAAGTTTGCTGGCACAGTTACTCAACAGCAGAATCTTAGATTTTGTTTGCATAGCTCACACATCACTGGAATGTGGAAAAGTGTGCTATTTTTTGGCAAGAGCAAAGAAGACATTATACTGATGTGAATTACCATACTGGGCATGCCGAATCCATGCAGAACACTGGGGCGAAGGCTGCTACCTGACATCATTGGTTTTTGTATACTGGTGTTGTTTTTGTTGAAGCAATTCTGTTATAGCCAGGAGCTTTTTCAAGACGTGCTACACAGAAGGAAAAAAAATGGTATGAAAATAAATGAAAGCTCAGTCAGCAATTTCAGGATGGGAACCTAGATTTGAAAAAAGCCATATCAAAGCAAAGGGATTCCTAAGATATTATCACAATTCCACTCAAAATGTTAAGTTTCTATTATTCAGTCATTGGCTGAGCATTTCTGGTCATAACTAAGAATTTTTATATCCTAAAGTGAACAGAAATTCATTTGTGCTTGGCATACTGCTATTTTTTAGGCCAAAACTATCTTATTTTGCCAGAAGCAGTTTACCTCTTTTTAAAAATCTCCTATTTTTTTATTTAATATCTAAGGCAAGTCATTTTAAGGCAAGTCATTTAATTATTTTCTAGGATTCTAGTATCTCAGGTTGAAGAGAACTCAGTCACCAAACTCAATGCTTTAATTGCTTTTACAAAATCCCTGCTGAATGGTTTAGCCAGTGCAGTGACAGCATTCACTATGTCCTGAAACTACATTATAAAGTAGTAAAAACTCCCTGTGCTCACCTTTCAGTGGCCCTTATGTCAGCTGAAGACATTCAAAATGTAATTCATTTTGTTATAATATTTTAATTAACCCTTAATTTTTTTAATTAAGGTTTTAAATCCCTTAAAATTCTAGTCCCTCTTTGAATACATCCTAGTCTGTATCTGGTTGGTGCAGATGGCAGACAGAAGTCTATGTAGTGTGTAGGCCATGGATCACTTGCATCTGAATCCCTATAAATTCCTGTGAGAGTTTGTTAGAAGTGCAGCTTTCAAGGCCACACTTCAGAATCTCTGGATGTGAAATCTGACAAACATCCCAAATAATAGTAATTTGTTTCACAATTTGAGAATCACTTTGGTCATGCACTGTATCTGTATGTGACAGAAGACAAACTGAAAAAAAAAAAATCAATAGTGACTTACTGGCAATTTTCACATATGCCACTAAAGTATATTAACAATGTTTTCCCATACAATCAACATTCAGACTCAAGAGCAAAATCTGATGTTTTTCAGTTTTAAATATACATCAGTTTAGTTTGGGCCTGTTATTTCTGTCTGCTGAGATCTTTTGTTATATGATTCAGTGTCTCAAAAATTTAATGTAACAAGATAAAAATGTTAACCAGAATTCAGCTGTTTATTACTTCTCAGAGTGTTAACCCTTGAAGTATCACTAATAATGAAGGCTGGCAAACACTTACCTGCTGTGCACCACGCTCATTACTGAGTGTTCGAAGTTCATCTGAGTGAGCCACGCAAATCTCATGCAATGCTGCTAAATCACGGGACAGGTCAGTTCTAGGATGCTCTGTAGTGTCCGGAAGTTCAGGTACATTCTTTAAGGGAATCATAAAATTGCATTTAGAAATACAAAAAAAAAGACAAATCTTTTTTTTTTTTTTTTTTTTTTTATGGAGTTTCGCTCTTGTTGCCCAGGCTGGAGTGCAATGGCAGCATCTTGGTTCACTGCAACTTGCGCCTCGCAGGTTTAAGCAATTCTCCTGCCTCAGCTTTCCCAGTACCTGGAATTACAAGAACCCACCACCATGCCCGGCTAATTTTTTGTTAGGTATACAAATCTTTATAGTCTCATGTGAAAAGATTCTAATCAGGTATTTTAGATAATTTTTTTTAATTCTCAGATTTCTCTTAAAATTCTAAAGACTTTTAATGAAATATTCAGCATTGATTATGGTAAAATGTAAACTCTGTAACCTTTGTATTCAAATGAAAGCCAGATTCCATTTTCTTCCATAGCATGGCAGGATATGGTACAATATTATTGCTATTCTAAAAATAAAGGTGGAGGGTGTGGCTTCATAACAATTTATATCTGAAATCTAGAACATATGCCAAATAGTATAGGTTAACTGCTAATCTGGATTAAATTCAACCTAAACTTAAAATTCCTAGACTAAATTTCATTATTAAGCTCCTGTAGTTTGTCCTAATTGATCTGTATGTAAGTAGGAGCTGCACTATGAAAATGCAATGAGACTATGTCAGGTTTGCAATTATCTGTGGACTGTGCTCAGAATGCTTGCTGATTTAATGTGGGAATAATCAGTGTTAATTATGGTACCTTTAGATAAGGTTCATAAAGTAACTTAGTCACTAGAATTAAAGTTTATAGTATAAGTTGAATGTCACTTAACCCAAAATGCTTGGGACTAGAAGTGTTTAGGATTTTGGAATATTTATTTGCAGTATACTTGCCAGCAAAGCATCCCCAATCCAAAAATCCAAAATTGGAAATTTTCCAAGTAGCCTTTCCTTTTGGTGCTCAAAAAGTTTTGGCTTTTTTAGCATTTCAGTTTTCGGATTAGGGATACTCAACCTGTACTTTATTATCAACACTAAATGCCAATGTTACTTTAAGCCTTGGAATAACATTTAGCAAGGGCTTGGGTTACCAGTAAAGTGGGGGCAGTATTTGCCTTACATAACTAAAAACTGCAAAAGAATATTTTCTATAGAATAAACAATTACGCAGAAGACATTCATTTAGTGACTCAAGTAAAGGATTATAGAGATGACTGACAGACACCAAGTTTGCCTTCAGAGAGCTGACTCTAGTAGAAAGGCCTTTAGAAAAGTAACCATAGCAACACGGAGTTATGTATCACAGGTATGCAGGGGATACTTAGGAGGTAAAACAAAAGGTATTTTATTCATGTTTGGGGTTCAGCAAAAGCTTCCTGAAGGAGATAATAATTGAGGTGGGTCATCAAAAGTGAATTTGGTTTATACGGGTGGTGAAGAAATAATAGTAGTATTATATTTGGATTCTAAGCAGTATGAAATCCTAGATTGTGTGGCATAATTTCTCACAGCTCCTTTTAAACATTACAGAAAAATGTTTTCCAGTGATTGACCACCTATATCCCAGTTCACATACAGAATGAACTTTTAGCATTTTTGTCAATTTCACAATAGAGTTATGCCATAATTTTTCATATACTTGTTTTTATACCTGAGGCTGCAAACTAGTGACCCACATGCATGCCTGATGTGTTTGCCACAGTGGTATGGTTGTGGTGGTCTTTTTAACTGAATCAGAAT